TTATTTATTTTTATATGGTGCTGAGGATCGAACCAGTGCCTCACAAGTGCTAGGCAAGTGCTCTGCCCCTGAGCTAAATACAACTCCAGCCCCACAGCTTGGTTTTACATAAACGAAAACATAGTTCTTTTCAGATACCAATAGACTACTTACAAATTTTTGTAAGTAGAAAAGTTCTTTATAACCTAGTATAAACAAATTTTTGTATGGGAGGAATGAAGGAACTTTAGATAGGGCAAAGGCAAAGGAGGGGGCATGGAGGTAGGAAAGACGGTGGAATGAGTTAGACATCATTACCCTACGTACATGTATGAAGACAGGAATGGTGTGAAAATACTTTATGTATAACCAGTGACTTGAAAAATTGTGCTCTATATGTGTAATATGAAATGAACTGCATTCTGCCATCATATATAACAAGTTAGAATAAATAAAACTTAATAAAAAACTAAAAGAAAAGTTCTGTAAGTTCTAAAAAGTAAATACCATATTATTCACATGCTTTGACCTTACTATAATACATCTATGATTTAAATCCTAAAAAATTCTAACCATTTGAAAACACACACACATATACATATTCATAAGTAACTCCTAGGTCAAAGAAAAAACAAAAAAATCTAAAATAAAAAAATCTGTTTGAAGATGATAACAGGAACACTACATATCAAAAAAAGTATGGTTCTGGCCAATATGGTAATATGAGAAAATTTTATAACCTTAGAAGTTTATTATTAAATGACTAAGTATTGTTACAAACACAGAAATTAACCTCATACTTTAGAATTTTGCATAGATGGAGAGTACTGAACCAGGAATTATACCTTCATTATCTTATTTATCCTTCCAACAACCCATTTTATAGAGGGAAAAAAAGGAAACTCGGAGAGGATGTGTAACTTGCTTGAGGTCACAAGCTGGTAAATGCTGGAGATGGGAGTCGAACCCAAGCCTGCCTCCTCTGGAGTGCACGCTTCCTGCTGCCATAGTGGACCACTGGTACTGGATACCATGACTCACTCGTCTGCTTTTAAAATAGTTACACATTGTTATGGGAAACTATTAAATCACAGAAACATATGCTAGTACTTCTCATAGGAGTCATTTCCACTTCCTTTCTTTCTGGTGGTACCATGCTTCCAATATTTTACTAATTAGAAATAATTTTCCTTGAACAGAAGCTCTAAGTCTGGTAGGTTTGAACCCATGGCTTTATTCTTTCTCTTAACTTTGTTTTTCCTCTCTCCTCTTTAAAATGTAACTCAGTTACCTCCCCAAGGACTCAGCAATGGCAATCCTGAAAATCCCATTATTGCTTCAACCACAACAGAAAGCAACCCCCAGAGTTGAGCAGGGGGCGGAGGGATGTGGGCCACCAGGCAGTGTGACTGCAGACACAGCACACAGATGTCAGCCTGGCTGACTCAGAGGGGCTGGGCAAATCTCAGCCCAGAGCAGGATAAGGGCAAAGGGGGCCTTCTGCTTCTGGGGTCTACGGCAAGACCGAACTGACCCCTCCTTGTTGCATCAACTCTGAGAAGGAGGAGGAGATAATGAAATCTCAGGGATTAAGGAGCAAGAGGGCTGGGACTTGCCCCAGGTCTGTCTGGCTGCAGGTCCAGTCCCAGCCCCTCCTTGCACTCTGAGGAGTGGGGGCTCACTACTGCCTGAGAGTAGCGTGTTCACGGATCCCTGCCAGGAAGCACACACACTCTAGCACCTGCCTGCTCCTCAGGCCACAGTGTGCTAAGGATGGGGTGACCCCCGCCAAGGAGGCTCCTGGCTCCAGTGACTTGGGGAAACCTACCCCTGGTCATGCATGAACAGACCCTCTGCTAGACAGTCTTCTACAGCCACAGCGGCTACAGGAGCAGATTTTCTGTAACTAACAAAGTTTTCAGGGAACCCTTTTCTGTGGCATAGTAGTCCATATTAGGAAATATTTATACACCCTAAGCATAGGAAATCATAAGAATAACCACCTCCAGCTGGCACTGTGCCAGGTGCTGGGTTGATTCCTCTGTTAGTGCTCGCCACAGCCCCAGCTGGAGACGTGACTGTGTCACCCATGTACTTAAGGCCTGACTCCCCACCAGCCTAAACCCTGAGAACAGGCGGTGTGTCCTGTTCTAAGGGCTCAGTCGCCGGTGTCTGGAACAGACAAGGAGGAGCTGCGTGGTAAACACCAGCTGAAGAAGGGAATGCCGGAACAAAGGCATATTTTATTCATCACAGACAATAACTGTAGGAAGCACATGTTGTTCTGTAGCTGAAGAGACACCGAGAGTCACGTGGCCATGATGACCACTGATGTTTACTGAGCACTTATTATGCCACCCCAGGTCCTAAACTAAGAGCTTTGGACAGGTTACTGATCTGTAAGAACAACATTGTTGCAGGAGGTCTCACCCCTGTGGTACAGAGGAAGGAACTGAGCTGAGAGAGGTTGCATTGCTGGCCTGAGGTCACACAGTGGGGGAGTTGCACAGGCAGGATTTGCACACAAGTCTGTCCAGGCTGCTGTATTATCAGTCCTTCTTTCCCTTCAGCCAGATCCTCCAGTGCCTAGCCAGATGGCGACATAGCTGAAGCTGGGGGGGATTACACTCTTCCAGGAAGGCTCATGAGGAGACTGTGGCTACCTCTCCTTGCTACACCAACCACCTCTTATTCCCTACCTCCATCATGCCCATTGGAGCACATCTGTCCCAGGTCCCATTATCAGTGGCCCACCCAGACTTGGGGGCTCTGCCAGATCTGTAGCATTGTAGGCAGCTGTGACGGGGGGGGGGCAGAGGCAGACTTGGAGACTTGCTTCTGCTACCTACCAGAGTGAGGGTGGCCTCAGGTGAGGCTTTTCATCTCCTGGGACCTCAGTTTCCTTGACAATTAAAGTGGATAATAATTTTGAGTGAATGGAGTCTCCTGGCCTAAGGCCTGGACCACTGAAGTGGCCAAGAAGTTAAGCTGACCCTGACCTGGCTCCCTTGTGAGGTCCCACTGGGATCAGCAGTGGATGTTCAAGAGATAGAAGCACCCAGCTGCATTTGCCATAATCATGGATGGTGCCCAGAAGCTAGTCACACAAGGCCACTCCAAGCTGGCCCATACTGGGAGCTTCCATCTGGAGGGGATAGCACAGCTGGACATCACAGCCTTTATTCCTATTTAGACAGTTAATGAAGCGGACAACACTGTATTGTTGGCCCATGAAGATGCGCAGCAACAGGACCAGCCACTGACTTTGGCTGCTGTAGGGTTGAGTGATGCCAGGGACTGGGCTGGAAGGGGAGGTGTGGACACTTCAGAGGAAGGAGCTGTAATAGTCCCAGTCACTGTCTGCTGCTGGGAGAATGTGTGCTAATATCTCATGCACTTTTGCAGCAATCTTGACAAGCAGGTACCCTCATTCTCCCATTTTACAGGTTAGGAAACTGAGATTTAGGAAGAAAAGTGACTAGGCCAAGATCAAACAGCTTGCAAGTATGAGTCAGGCCTATCTGACTTCAAAGACTTGGGACTGAGATCAGTGCTAGGGGCTTGGGGCTGGCAGGGTCCTAGCCACAGAGCTGGAGGCATGAGGAACACTGCTGTGGCCTGCCTGTTGAGGACACTGTGGCAGCTGGCTCCAGCCCCATGCCATGCCACCCGCAGACCAGCCCTCCCTTGAGGGGGCAACTCCCCAGACCACATGTCTGCTCTGCTGCTCCTCTGTGCCCCACACAGGGCCTGGCGACACTGCCAT